ATTAATGAAAGAAAAAAAAATGAGGGGTACGCGGCTAGCCTTTAATAAAAATTGGGAGAAGGAGAGGGGGGACCAGCCATCCCTTTTGCATTAAATGTGAGAAAGAGAGTGGAACCACCGAATTGGGCCAAAAACTCCTCAAAGTAGGCTTGAACTTCCACAAAGTAAGCTAGCTTGGAGTCCCAACAGAATGGGGGAATTCCAAAAAGGAAACGTTCACTTTTCTCATCCAAAGAATTGAAAGTAGAGGGGAAAACTGGCAAAGTCTCCTACTATCACCATGAGGGAAAGAGACTCTAATCAAAGCAGTGTTGCAGGCAATTTCGACTTATATTATGTTCCTATTCTTGCTCCCAGCATCAATCACGAACAGAATGGATGCATTGGTTAGGAGATTTTTTTGGTCAGGGTCTATGCAAAGAAAGGCCATATACTAGTGCAAGGGGGAGATTCTGCTCAGGAGTAAAGAAGAGGGAGGTCTGGGTTTCCGATCGTTCAAGAATTTTAACATTGCTTTGTTGATGAAGCAATGTTGGCGTCTCCTAGTGACCCCTGATGCATTATGGGCTAGACTACTCAAGGCTTTGTACTTCCCACGAAGTGACTTCCTCGCTGCCAGGAAAGGGGCGAGGTCATCCTGGATATGGACTAGTCTGTGGCTCGCTAAAGGGCAGTTGGAGATGGATATCCTGAGAGTGATTGGCAATGGAAAGAGCACTAGGGTGTACAATGATCCATGGATTCAAATGTTACAGGGACAGAGAATTCAGCGGCAGAACCCACCATCGGTTTTGGTGGCTGAATGGATCAACCAACACAACCGGGTCTGGAACGATGAAAGACTGAATAGATTCACATCAGCACAAGAAGGGGAAGCTATTCGAAGAATCCCAATCGGCCACCAGGATGTTGCTGACTTCTGGGCCTGGAAACCGACAATTGATGGATGTTTCTTGGTGGGATCGGCCTATAGATCAATGCACAATAGAAACCAGTTGACCGGTGGGCAAACTGCAACCTCTCAACAGAGTGAGAAGGAAAAATGGAGATGGCTTTGGGGAACTGCTATTCCACCAAAAATGAAGTTCTTCTTGTGGAGATGTGCGAAAGGAGTGTTGGCTATAAAATCAAAGCTCTCCTCCCGCAACTGCTCTCCCTCCCCTGAATGCCCAGTGTGCACGGGATGCCCGGAGACCATTCAGCACTGCCTGTTTGAGTGCGGCCATGCTCAAGAGACGTGGAAAGTTTGTTTCCCATCCATATCCACACCCCCTCCTCTGACTAATACTCTTGATTGGCTTTTCCAGCTCCAAAAAGGAATCCCAGAGCAGTCAACTCACCTCATCATCTACCCATTGTGGGCTATTTGGTTGGCAAGAAACGAGAAGGTGTTCAACAATGTCACCCCATGGCCCCCTCGTTCGTGCTCCAATGTTGCTCGTGATCTGAAGCAATGGACAGATTGTCCGAAAGTCCCATTGCAACAGAGACTCCACTTGGATCAACGTACTCCCCTCCGGAACACCCCTGCTCCACCGCCAAGCAATCCCAGCTTTGAGATTCACTGTGATGGTTCATTCTTCAATGAATCCCAGGAGGCGGCTTATGGTTATGTGATTATCAATGACTATGGACAGGTTTGTGATGGCGCGGCTGGTCCTCTTACTTGTTCCTCGCCAATTGAAGCTGAATCTATGGCTCTTCAGGAAGCTATTATAGCACCTCAAAGACTGAACGCAACAGTTCACGTGAAATCCGATTGTCTATCTCTTGTGAACGCAATGGCAATGCCACCTGAATGTTGGCCGTGGGCATGTGCGGCAAGACTCAGTGTTATGACCGCCATTCTTAATAGAGTGCCAAGCATTAAGGTTAAGTTCATCCGAAGAAAGAACAACTTTCGGGCAGACTGGATTGCGCGCTCTTTCAATTAGAGATCACTCCCCGAAGATTGGATTACTGTTTTGAATGTGTTGGATTCTTTCTTTACTGATGTATCCTGACTTTTGGATTGAGGAATATAAGTAACAATGATTTACCACTGTAAAAAAAAAGTAAGCTAGAACCTCCTCATAGTATGCCAGAAGTTTCTTAGCAGAATAGCAGTTGACACGTTTGTAAATTTCATAAAGTTAAGGTACCAAAATGTAAGAAATGAAATTTTTATATACTAAAATTTAATTCTCCGTCGATTTTTTAGGACTCAAAATTAAAAAATAAATAAATTTAGGTACTAATTTTTATTAAGTTCATATGGCAAAACTGTAATTTCTAAATGAAACATAGAAAAACAACGTTAATGGAAGGGGGAGGGGGAGGAGAAGTGTAAGGAAGTGGTTAAGTACCATACACGGGCCTGTATAAGATCCAGCATAACCTTCTCCCAACAACTCGAGTTATTGGGACCAATTGGTTTATGACATGGTATCAGAGCTGGTTTGTCCTTGAGGTCACGTATTCAAGTCCTCACGACCCCCAATATTAACCGTTGTCTTCAAGCACATGGTATGGCGGGCCTGTGCAAACTTCAAACCCATGAGTCGGCTTTCGTTTGAGAGGGCGTGTAAGGAAGTGGTTAAGTACCATACAAGGGCATGTATAAGATCCAGCATAACCTTCTACCAACAACTAGAGTTATTGGGACCAACTGGTTTATGACAAGAAGGAGAAGGGGAAGGAATACAGAAGGGAGAAGAGATAGTTACTATAATACATTTAAAATAAGTATCAATATAGTACTAACGGTTAAAGGTGTTAGCACCCTATCCACTTCCAACAACCATGAAGACCCTACTTTTGATGGCGGCTTGAACAACTATATATAAATCGAACAATTTTTTCGATATGGATTCTATATGTGGCAATTGTTGTGACGTTAAGAAAAAGGAACCGAATTTTGATCACTTCGTAAAATAAACCTTTAAATCTCGTAGGACTGGGAAAACAGACCAGACCGTTAGAAAAACCATGGTCCAAATCGTACCGTACAGTTTGGTCCGGACCGTAGACCGTTAAGTATGGTCTGGTCTGGTCCATGGTCTGTATTATTTTATGTTTTGATCTCTTGGTCTGGTCTGGTCTAGACCGCGGTTTAATGGACCAAACCGTGGACCCAACCGACTTGTCAATACATATTAACAACCCATTTGGCCACTCTCCCAACTCCCACAATGACACCCAAGTCTCAACATTAATTTTGTGAATCTCGTCTCTCCTTCATTCACAACCACATTTAACCAGAGAGTAGAGATAAGCATGCCTCAATATGACATTATGTTAATATTTTATGACGTTATGGTGCAAGTTGAGATGCTTTTATTTTAAATCTTTGTTATGTAATAAGAATTAGGGTACCAAAATTATTCATGCATGTTATGATTGATGTTTTAAGGCAAATAACAATTATTTTTCTTGGTTATTGGTTCAATATTTTGTGTGGTTGACGAAACAAATTGTTCATTTTTCGTTGAGTGTGGTCTATCTAGACAAGACCGGGCCGAACCAAACCGCACAGGCGTAGTCTGGACCGGACCGTATAGTCTGTGGTCTGATCTGTTATCTATACTTCAGTCTCTCGGTCTGAACCATAGACCGTATAAATGGTCTGGTCTGAACCAGACCGCACCGTTTCCCGCCCTAAAATCTCGCTCATTGAGTTACTTAACAACGTGTTTTTTTAGGGTGGGGGCATCATTCATGAGGCTTAGACCATCGATCTACATTAATAAATCTTAGTAATTGCATAATTCTTGTTTGTGATGGTATTGGTGCACGTATACTTTGATAAAATGGATTCATCGAAAATTATGATATTTCTTTTTCGATGCCTTATGAGCAATTATTTATTTTTGTATAAATATTTTAAGTTCTTTCTTATAATTATTTTTTCTATAAAGTGTATTGTTAGTTCCTATATTTCTTTTAAGTACTTTCTTATAATGAATTTTCCTCTCAAGTGTTTAAAACTCTCACTTATTAGCTTTCCACTAAAAAAATGTTGTGTTGGTGACTTAGAAAATGGTAGATGGAACGAAACATTGAAATTGCAAACAAATTCAGAATCTAGACAACTTTTGAAAGGGTGAGTTTTTCCTCTTATGTCACATGTGATGTCACTCTTTTATAGGCATAATGTGATAATTACTCGTAAAAAATGTAACCTAACATTAGTTATGAATGAAATCTAATACACCCTTCGAAAATTTTATTCACATGATCATGTTTGATGGAAGAGCAATTACATATAAACTGTAACATATAATGTCCATCCACAACCTGATCTTTGTTCTATTCAATAACAATTTTGTTTATCTGTAGCATTATTAATTATCGTCTCGTCACTACTCTTACATTACCCTTCCATTGATGGTCATCAATACGATTATGGTGTCATTTAGACCAACTCGATAAATTGTTGTACGATAGAAGAGTACTATCGAGATTTTCTATCTATTTGGGGTAGTTATCATAAATGGTCACAAAACTATCCACTTTGTACAAAACGGTCACAAATCTTTAATTTTGCACGTTTCAGTAATACAAGTTTGAGTGAATAACAAAAGGGTCAATCCATCTACTTCCGTCCAAAAATCTGTTAGTTTTGCACAGTCAGCATGACACATCATTAAAAATATCAATAAAAAAACATTTAATCATTTGAATTAACCAGCAAAACCCAACCGATTCGGTAGCTCTATACCCACCCGACCGTACCCTAATATATAGCTAATACCCACCCTTCACGATTTGGAGAAATCAACAGAAAAGAAAAGTAGATCCAAAGCTCAATTCCACTTCTCGATTGATGTAGTCTACGTTCAGAGTCTTCGACGGACACGGCGGCGCTAGAGCAGCTGGATTCGCATCAAATAATTTTGGGAAAACATCACCGGCACCGCCGAAGTATCATCGTCGTTGTCTAGATCTAACGATGGCAGATTCGAAGAGGCGGTCAGGACGACAACCTCGTGGTGTCGAACGCCGGCGACTGCGGCGCCGTGATGAGCAGGAGAGGAGTCGCGGAGGCGCTCACGTCCGATAATCGAGCTTCTCGTCCGGAGGAGAAGAAGCGAATCGAGGCCCTCGACGGTTACGTGGATTGCCGCAGGGGTGTTTGGCGGATTCGAGGGTCTCTTGCGGTGACGAGAGGGATCAGAGATGGGCATCTTAAGGAGTTCGTGGTTGCCGAGCCGGTGACCAAAGTTGTGCGAATTCAATGTGTTTGGGAGTTTCTGATCTTGACCTCCGATTGGTTGCGGGATAATGTAAGAAAGATTGATACCACTTTGTTCATAGGTATTGATTGGGGAAACTGATTCAATTTCGCTCCTTTTCCATTCCCAAGGCTTCTAATCAAGAAACAGCTCACTTGATCCGCCATTTGCATACTGATGCCGAAGAATCAAAGAGATGACCGGGAGATTGAACCGGTTGGGTTGTGAGGGTTAATTTGGATTATTAAATAATTTTATTATTAATTTTTTTAATGATGTGTCATGTTAACTAGGCAAAAGTAACGGATTTTTGGATGGAAGTGGACGTATTGACCTCTTTGATATTCACTCAAACTTTTATTACTGAAACGTGCAAAATTAAAGGTTTGTGACCGTTTTGTACAAAGTGAATAGGTTTATTACCATTTATGATAATTACCCTATCTATTTGTGATGAATTTCTCCAATTGACAAAAAAAAACACTATTAGTACCATCTATCATCGTGTCGTGTGATGATCACTTGTAAATCCAAAGTATCTTTTACAATTATCTGTCGAAAATAATCGGGGGGTGAGATAGCATGACTACCCCTAAAGGTGTAGGAAAAATGAAACTCCTATTAATTATAGGCTTTTAAGATAATTGATTTGTGTTGCATTAAATAATCTGTCTGAATTAAAAATTCATATTAATTACTTTCCTTTTTTCAATGCAATGATAGTTCTACTAATGCAATGATATCAATGAACAGGTGCAATGGTGTATCAGTGTAATGGTAGTTTAAAAAAAGAAATGTAATGAATATGAGTTCAGTGTACAGGTGCAATGATAGTTGTATCAGCGCAATGGTAGTTTAAAAAAAAATTAATTCTCAAAAATTATTAAGTGCAACACAAATTTAATACTATAATTAACTATAATTAATAGGGTTATATTTTTTCAACCCATAGAGGGGTTAAGCAAGCTAACCAATCCCACAACAGTCCCATTTTCCCTTTTTTGACAAAGAGGTAAATTAAAGGTAGATATAATAGATATCAATTTCCAGCTTCCAAATGTGAAACTAATTAAGTTTCTGGTGGAAAGAAAATGTGAAACCAATATTTATTAATTAGTTGGTCAATGTCACGCTTTAATTTTCTCCGCGTTTTAATTTTCCAAAGCAATTCATTTTTGGTCAATTCCTCAATTTCCATTCCAAAAATAAAAACGTATAAGGGTTCATATCTATATATTAATTACCATTTAGTATCCAATGTTAGTCAAATTTCAGCCTTTAATCAACCGCCGAATTAATAACCCTTTCCCGTCATCCTGATCTCAACATGACGGAGAGAAGTAGAGAACCCACATCACCAAAAGCAATTAAAATAAGTATGATCAGAACTAAGATTTTGGCGGAGCGTTTGTCTGTTATCCTCCCGCAAGTGGTCTCAGAAGGTCAGAATGGCTTCATTAAGGAGCGTCAAATAGTGGATAACATTTTACTGGGACATGAGCTAATGCATTACCTAAAAACCAAAACGCGGGGGAAGAAGGGGTTCATGGCTCTAAAGGTTGACATGGAAAAGGCCTATGATAGAGTCGAATGGCCCTTTCTCCTTGCGGTTTTGGTTAAAATGGGTTTTAATGCCACTTGGGTGGGCTGGATCAAGGAATGCCTCAGTTCTGCTTCCTTCTCAGTTATGATGAATGGTACACCGTCTGGTTTCTTTTCTTCTTCTCGAGGACTCCGTCAAGGGGACCCGCTGTCTCCACTTCTTTTTGTGCTTTGCACTGAGGGGTTTGCGGCTCTTCTCCGGAAGGCGATTACTGAGAAGCGATTAGCAGGGATTAAGGTGGCGCCGCGGGCTCCCAGATTAACGCACTTGTTTTTTGCTGATGACTCGTATCTATTCCTACGAGGTACCCTCCAGGAATGTGAAAACCTAATTGAGGTCCTCAACGAGTATGAGGAGTTGAGTGGCCAAAGGGTTAATCTTGCCAAGTCGGCAGTCTGCTTCAGTAGGAATATAGTTGATCAAGACCAAGTGTTTTTGGCGGCGGTCCTAGGTGTAGGAGCCGTTGGAGTTCACGATAAGTACCTCGGATTACCATCCTTGATTGCTAAATCTAAGATGGAGACCTTTCGGTATCTGGAAGCCAAACTGCTGGAGCGACTGCAGGGATGGAAGCAGAGGACTCTGTCATGGGCTGCCAAAGAAACACTCATCAAATCTATTGCTCTGGCTTTGCCATTACATGGGATGTCCTGTTTCAAGCTCCCGCTGACGCTTTGCCGCCTTTTAGACAGGCATGTTGCCCGTTTTTTGTGGGGCGAGAATGAAGGCCATCCGAAGGTGCATTGGATGTCGTGGCAGGGGATGTGTAGAAGCAAACATGATGGGGGAATGGGTTTTCGCAGATTTGAGCAGTTTAATCAAGCTCTTTTGGCTAAGCTTGGCTGGCGTATTCTAACTGAACCCAATTCTTTGCTGGCCCAGGTCTATCGAGGTAAGTATTTTCCGAATGGCCATTTCTTGTCGGCTAAAGCACGTTCTCGGCCATCTTGGGGGTGGCAGAGTATACTGTTTGGTCGTCAGCTCTTGGAAATGGGGCTACGCTGGCAAGTGGGAAATGGTCGCTCGGCATCTATGTTGCGCTCTACCTGGGTCCCCGAGTTTCAGTTTGAGCCCATTCGGTATAATCCGCAGGTGTTGCCAGCTGGTGGTGACCCGGCAGTGGCGGAGTTAATTTGTCAAGGGGAGGGGCGGTGGTGTGATCAAAAACTCAGGCAGTGGTTCGATCCTAGGACGTGCCGTTTCATTAAAGCTATTCCCCTCCCGCGAGAAAATGTGGAGGATAAAATAATATGGTATGATACAGCGGATGGGGAGTTTTCAGTGAAGTCGGCTTACCATTTGGCTGTTGCCCTGGATAAGAGAAGGGGCCGATGGAAGTCAACAGTAAATTGGATGGATAGGCCAAGTTGGATTCGGTTATGGGAGGCAAACATCCCGCCAAAGTTAAAGGTTTTTACGTGGCAGATATTTAATCGTATTTTACCGACAACTGAAGCGCTCATTAGTCGTCGTATTCCAGTGCTATCTCGGTGCCCGGTCTGTTGGGAGGGGTCTGAAACTTTGGAGCACCTCTTTTTGGACTGTCCGATTGCGCGGGCACTGTGGGGGGCCGCTGGGATGGAACACTTAGGGGAGGGATTGCCCCGGGACAATTTTCCCCTGTTCCTGAAGAAATTGCTGGGTTTGATTCCTCAGCCCTCGCAGTGGATGGCCATTATTGCAGTCCTGTGGCGGATTTGGAAGTCCCGTAATTGGGTTGTTTTTGAGGGAAAGCAATTTGGTCTCCCGGCTCTTATGCGACAGTTTTTACAGCAAGTTGAGGAATGGGCGCGGATACCAGGTAATGAGCATCAAGCTGATCGGGGGATGGAAGATCTGGGGCCTCGCCTGGTTAACCCTGGTGGGTTTGTTTGTCGGTGGGATGGGGCTACGAGAAGGGGGTCGCATGCAGCTGGGGGGATGGTGCTGTTGACTCCCACAGGAGACATCCATCGGGTTAGTGGTGTTGCCTTCCCAGGTATTGACGACCCTGCGGTGGTGGAGCTGATAACGTTGCGTGAAGCCGTTCTTTGGTGTTTAGGACAAGGGTTCTCTTCTGTCAGATTTGAAGGAGATGCGAAAGTGGTCATTGACAAAATCCAGCATAGGGACACTCGTGATCGCAGGATGGGTGCGGTTTTGGAGGAAGTGTTAAATCTTTTTGCCAGCAACCCAGGGTTTAGTGTTCGGTTTATAGGTCGGTGTAACAATAGGGTAGCCCACTTGGTGGCTAGGAAAGCCCTCTCCTTGTACCCGACAATGAGTCGTGCTTTTGATTATCAGGCCTGGCTGTTCTCCAGGATGTAACTATCTTTTTTGGAATCAATATAAGATTATCTTTTGTTAAAAAAAAAAAAAGTATGATCAGATTTTCATTATGGAGAAACAAAAATGTTCAAGGAGTTAACGTATTTATAAACAAATCAAGAAATTAATATGTGAACTCAACTGCACATATAATAATGTTAATAATTAATTAATTAATCAAGCTAATTGAAAAATGGAAAACTCCATGAAAAAAAAAGAAACAAAAATCAATAAAAACAATCCACCATGGGAGAATAATTATTAGCTCCCGCCTTGCCAAGCTCAAACATCCTCGCATCATTCTCATACGGCGTCAAGTTCAGATCCAACCCCACCATCATCAAAACCCTACCTCTCTTCCGCGGCGGAGCACCACGACTCTCGTAGCTCTCCGACGACGACCCTCCGGCGCGTGAGCCGCCACGGTGCCTCCTCATGTGCCCGCCGAGGGCCTGGCCGATGGAGAACTCCAGCCCGCAGATGGAGCACTCGTGGGTCTTCGGCTTGGCCGATGACGACGATGAAACGACGTCGTAGCAGCTGCCGGGTGAGGCGGGGCTACGCTTCTTGTGGCTGGCGCGGTGGCCGCCGAGGGCTTGAAAAGAAGGGAACTGGCGGTTGCAGGTTTTGCACTCGAAGACGCGGCTCGGGTCGGGAGAGGTGGAGTTGAAGTTGACGCCGCCGACGTCGTATCGGTTGGTGGTGGCTTGGGAGAGAAGCATGAGGCAGTTGGCCATGGTTAGGGTTACGTCAGGGCCGCCGCCGGCGCCGCTTTCTTGCATGGTGAGGCTTATGGTTGTGTTCATCGTACGTTTAGGGGAGTTGATATGATGAGAAAGGAAATGAGAGGGAGAAGGAAGGACCGGAGTAGGTGTAATATTTTTAGGTAATTGAAGGAAGAAGGAATTAACTTGTAGTACTTTTGCAACTATAGAGGGTGTGTTTGGACTTTTATAGTCGACTTTTCTGTGTGCCTAGTAGCTTGGTGGAGTTGATTTTGCTTGCCATCGTTGCTTGCTTGGTAAGCAATATGAAAGAGAAATGAGTGGCTTTGGCCTTCGGTCAGAGGTTAAAAGAGTTTTTTTGATAATAACAGTCAATAGGATTATATTCGGCTCTAGATAGGGTGCATAACCATGCATCCATCAATAACTAAATCTGAACTCTTTATTTAGAAAATTCAGATTTAAGGATGGAGAATTAAAGACCATTTTTATTTTCTCTAGCTTTCTTAATCGGCTCATATCTTTTTTGTTTTAACTCGGATTTTAAAATTTTTTTCCGCACAGATGGAACGAGTTCATCGTGCTCTACAAAATGAGATCAATTTTCAATATTTTTTGAGAAAAAAATTCTGACCTCTCGGTACCAACTGCATACCATATGGTATTTTTTCGTTTTTAATTCGTTTTTTAAAACGATTGCACAGAAGGGACGAGTTCATTATGATCTATTGGATCTACAAATTTCTGGGTGAACAAATTACAGGACCAAAAAATACCACACAATATCATACAATACCACCCTGCTACGGGGTGGTATCTTGTGGTACACAATGTTAAAAGTCGTAAATGACAGTTAATATACTTCTACTATCATGTATTCAACCATCATACAGTCTTGGTTTGTTTATACCATCATGGTACGCTTTTCAAACCATATGTATGCTCTTATTTCAATACCAGTCAATACCATATGGTATAGACTGGTAAAAAATGGCTCAAATTTTTTTGTTCGAAAAATATGTCAAAGTGGATATCATTTTGAAGAGCACAATTAATCTGATCTAACTGTGCAAAAAAATTAAATTTCGACTTAAAACGAGTGAGAAATCATCCGTCAAAGATTAAGGAAGGCAAAATTAAAGGCTTTGCAGGAGAGAGAGAGGGATGTTGATGTCATGCTGATATGGAGGGATTACTCATGGTTATTCACCATAAAGTTATTGACCTGATCCGTTCCCATTATATTCCATCTCTTTAAACAATAGATCATTTGAATTACGAAGAAAGTGTAGAAGTATTGTTTACGAGAATGACAATACATACTCGCAAACATTTCTTAATATCAATTTTGAAGAAAACCGATAAGACGTACTCGTACGTTTAACCTTTGGAAGTACTCATATCGATTATTAACCATAAATATCATTGAATTTGTGGGAAAATTGACAAATGATCATCATCAATGTCGTAGCCATAGATGGTGATGTGTGTTAATTATTTGATAGCTTTGCAACTAGACACTATGAAAAATGTTTCCCAAACATTAGGGAGGTGTCCAACCAGCACATTGTCAATCAACAACGCATTACAGCCCATGAGGCCAGTCCCGTAAATACTCAAAACCATATATTGATTGGGAGGACGACATTAAATAATAAATAACTGCTTTAGTGACCAACTATTTTCATAAAGATCTATCATACTGTCATGTCATGAACCAGTTGATTCCAATAACTCGAGTTGTTGGGAGAGGTTCAATTGTGGATCATATACCACAACACTAACACGCCCCTTCAAACGAAAGTCACTCACAACGGCTTGAAGTTTGCACAGATCTGAAGACAAGAATACCATGTGCTTAACAAATGGGGGTCACCGGGAATCGAACACAAGACCTCTCGGTCACAGAAGGCTCTGATACCATGTCATGAACCAGTTGATCCCAATAACTCGAGTTGTTGGGAGAGGTTCAATCATGCATCATATACCACAACACTAACACATACGACAGTAATTAGTTTGTGACATGTTACTGAATGGATCTACAAAACTCAGTGACGGAGCCAGAAATCTGAATAAGCAGGATTGACTTGAACCGTGATAATTAATTGGTAGATCTCTATACTTAATAAATGTTTATTTACATATTTATAATTTGAAAAGAATACCCACTTAGGGGTCATTTGCATCATTGATTTGGTACAAAACACATGTTTGCTTGATAATTTTTGAGTTACCAAATCTGTGGGTCTCACAAATATGAAGAAACCTGGTCTACATATGAGATTTGAACCAATTCCATGAATAGTCTAAAATTTCTTATATATTCACAATCTAATTCCAACAAATGATCTATCATTATTAAATCCAACAAGTAAACATGAGGTTTTTCAAATCCATAATTTTATCACAAAATCTAAGTTTTCAAAACCCAAATTATAACCATTTTTTTTTTTTTTTCCAAATCCACCAAACAATCTAAACTCTCCTATTACCGATCGTAGGTGTGAATGGAGTGATGGGTTACATGAAGGTGGAGACCGATCGAGGTGACTGAGTACTGAGTCGGCAGCGCGCGTCTCCTGAGCTACAAGTAGAAAGTCTATCTAGAACGTAGTTAACTAGTGTTGTTTAGTCCAACCAAGGGGCCAAAAAGCTTAAAAATGACTTGGCTAATAGAGATGACAATGGGTCGGGTTTTGCCGAGCTCAAATTTGAATTCATGGGTTTATCCGTGAAAAAACCCCGGGTAAAACTTACTGGGTTTGGAAAACTCAAACCCAACCCAACCTGATGGGTATCCGTGGGTTCATGGGTACCTATAGATTTTTGTCGTAACAAATTTACAATAACAAGTTCCTATCAAAATAAAAGTCAAATATCAATCTCTCAATACAAATTATCCATATATAAAACACTATTCTAAAAAACTGAAGCAAATCACAAATTATCCATAAACAACATGATTAATTGAAAACTTCTTACTCCTTGTCAATGAAACTTCTTCACTCTCCACTCGATAATATATACTTCATTATACACAATTAGAAAGAAAAAATTGGACATGTCTCCACAAACATAAAGAAGATTAGTTGCTTAGAGTATTAAATATACCAGGAAAATTAATTATATGGGTGTGGATGGGTACTCATGGGACGGATATATCTAAACTCAAATCCAACCCGATAAATAATGAATGAGTTTTATCTGCGTTGATCGAGTTGGGTCGAGCAGGGTACCCATTGGTTCGGGTTTTATTTTCATCCCTATTAGCTAACTAGTCGTGGACCCGGCCAGTTGGCCGGATACATTTGTCAGTCACATAAACAGCGATAGCAATTTGTATGCAATATGCGCATGTCTTTGGTACTATAAGAAAATTTAAAATTTTCAAATTATCGAACATTCAAATTAATTGACAAAATAAAAGAATTCAAATTATTAAACTACTTCAACTATTCAAAAGGATCAACATCATAGTGTTTTCTGACATTGTAACTGGCTCATCGATTAAAATCATTTTTAGAAAAAATGAAAGACAGACCACATGCCAGAGAACAGACTTCTAAATTTTTTTCGAAGAACCCTTCTATTTGCGCCTCATTCTCAGAGATTCTGCATTTTTTCATTTTGGATTGTATACAATTCCTCTGCCATGAGCAACATTACCATCTCCACCAGTAATAATATATCCATTTCCATTAGTGACACATTTATCTCCGATATCGATTGACTCTTTTCCTTCTTCTCTTGCATTTTCAATAATCCATTCCCTGTTTCATGCATTTCCTCTAAGTTATGCTCTTCCTCATCCTTCCCTATGTAGGAAATTGTGTATTCACTTGTTGGGTTAGAGATGTTGTAATCTATGAGCTTGATATTGAATGTTAACGTTATTCCCACAAGTATAGGAGATGAGTAGGTGGTGGTCCTCTCATTCCATTGTTGTCTTGGAATAGTCCCTCAGCCGACATTTCGAAAAATCAACCGCTCACTTGATCGATAACAATAAAGTCATCCTGAGCTGGTTTGTCCGGAACTCGATGGTGGTTCTTGAATTTGTATAATGATGGTAATGACACAAACAATAGTAAATTTTTTATGAAGTACGTTATTTTTTAATTGGTAAAGTAAAACAATTAAAATTATTCAATTAATAATAGAAAATAGTCCTGTGAGGTAAGATAAGTGGAAAGTAGGGATGGCAATCAAACTTGCTATTGCGGGTACCCAACGACTCCCGACCCAGTCAACACGCAGAATTCATGCATTGGTTGGGGATGGGGCGGATATAGTTTCAGGCTCCATCACCAATACCCGGTCCTAACAAGAGTATTTATTCAAATATGAATAATTGAGAGATCAAAATATAATATGTCAATGGAAAGAAGGATAATTAAAAAAAAAGAGATTAAATGTAATTGATTGGCCACGCAAAGCAAACCTTAATTTCTTTTCCTTAAATTCTCCATTCATACCTTCACTTCACTTCTTTCTCCCTTTTAACGCGATTATGTTAGTTATTTTTTGTTGAGTAAATGTGTCGGAGTTGTAGATGAATGATTCAGATGATATTGTATCTTTTTCTTTGCAATCACCTCACTTTATGTCCTAGGCAAACCAAATGTGAGTAAAAGACAAACTAAGCGTCGGCTAAAACGCATATCTCCATTTTCTAATCTAAGACTGGCTCTGACCTGGGGGCCAAACTTGAAAAAAATGAGTTTTTAGCTCATTTTCCTCTCCAACTCATCCTCTTTTGGCCCTAAAAAAATGGAGAAGGACAATTAAAAGTGACATTGGGCTTTTGGTATGGGTGGCGACATAAATGTGGATGGAAAGATGATGGGTCTCCGGTAGGTTTCAAAAAAAAATTCCACAGATGTTGTTGCCCATCTTATGTAAATTCTTCCCACAAAGATTCACGGGAAAAGTTACCCCCAAAGAGCTCCAACAAAAACTTCCCAATTAAGTAAATTTTTCATATTTTACATGGGATTGATTGTGAGGTAACTCTCTTTGGTAGGATAATTACACAACTAAATGCCATCCTTGCA